CTGCAAGAATAGACTACCAACTCAGGAGGTTGCAGAAGAAGTAGCATCTTTTCTGTCTTTCCAGTAAGTGGGAGGAAACAAGCATCCTGCCTCCCCCAGTTACTACCATTTGTTTTGGGGTGCTGTCATTCAGTGTGAAAAGGAAACTTTATCTGTTCAGTGTTCATCATGACCTATGCGACTGATGACCAGTTTCCTACCAGAAACAAACAGAAGGCTTCCCCAAGTTAAGAACCAGTAATGGAAAAGTAGTGGTCTTCCCACCATTTCCTTCAGCACAAGATGACGAGGCATCATTCAACAAGCAGTCTTGATCTGTCATATTGATTCTGAGGGAACAAGCATGACCATTTCTCTGTGAAGCTCTAAAGAAATCAGAGTTCTGACTATTTCAGAACTTGCAAAACTTCAAAAAGAGAGGTGCTACCCAAGACAGTCATCATTAAAATACACAAATCTTTTAATAAAAATGCCTGTTTCCCCCCCCTCCAGTAAAAGCAGCTCCGACAATAGCAGTTCACTTCAGCACTTCAAGTGCTTCAGTTTTAAGCACCTATCTACAGCCTACATAATAAACTTTCATGTTTGAATTCTCACAGGATTTCACATATATTGGAGTGGCAAATCCCAATAAAAACATATTATGTCTATATTACAAGACTATTTTTGTAGGAAAAAAGACATGATGTCCCTTCCCATAAAGATGGATTTAAATAAATTGATGTAGCTTTCTTCAGATTGGCTCTGTTTGTACAGTTAACACCTTTTCTTGATTCCAATGTCAAGAAGTAGTAAGCATAAAATTTTACAGCTCTTAGCACACACACAGAGTGAGAAATCCAACTCATTCTTGCATTTTTGAAAGGATTATTTCTGCCAGATCTGCTATTTTCTAACACAAAAGATAGAATTTGTAGATTTAAGGGTGTAAGGTAATATTGTTACTATAGTAAAGTATGGCTATGGAGTTAGAATGACATTGTAAACAGCAACGGAAAAAATACAGACAAAATTTAAGTAACCAGAACGCAGAGAGATTGGTCCCAGTGATTTAGAGTCATGAGAAGTGGTTTGCATTAGTGTCTTTAGCATGAATTAGTGTTTTCCTGCTATACTTTGTATTGCATTAAAGTGTACTACTCAAATTACATCTTGACTGGACTAGAAGAATGCAACGTATACTTGTGCTTTGGGTACTTCAAGATTCTTCTTACAGTTTGAAAGATTCCACTGACATTGCTGTTCTTTGAGTTTAAACTAGGAAAGATGGGTATTAATGGTATTTTAAAAAGAAGGTTAAAAACCCCCACACTGTTTTCAAGAGAATCATCTAACTTCAATTGGTTTTGCCACAGGTATATCAGCCACGTATTTGTGCATTTTCAATAAAGCTGAAGCAAGAGTCAGTAATGCATCAGATCTGTTCTTTAACTTCCAAAAGCAGCTTTTCATGGAATATTCAGTGCCTACCACATACAGAGGAAAAGTCACAATCAAGTAACTGACTGCATACCCAAAATCCTTATGTTCATCAGATATTTCTGTGCCAGTAACCATCCTCAAGGAATAGTGTTTTAATCCTTCAGCTTGATTTCCTTTAGGTCAAGGTGGACTGAACTACAACTAGTTTTTAAAGGAAGATAAAAACCATGAAGCACAAGTAGTTTAAACTACACTTTTAAATTACTTACACTAGAAATATATAACAAAACCAAACCTATTCCGTAATCAGATGATCTGCATAGACATATATTGTCACCCTGTACTGCATGTGTGCCATTTCATCAAAACTGTTTTCTTGGAATCAAATTCCAACTAGTACTTATCATGCAACAGAATAATCAAGTTTTGCTAAGTATGCAGCAATGAACTTCAGTCACTTGAAACATCTTTATTAACTTGTACTTAATTAAGTCCGGAAAAAGCTTGTTTAAGCCATTCACTACCACTAAATGCTCTTAATATTGCAAGCGAGGATCAGAATTTGTGTTACACTCCCAAAATATTCCCTTTCTAGGTTACACTTCATCGTGGGGAAAAAGACAGAAATGAGCAAATATTCAAGATAAAATTTTAATCATTAAAAGATTACAACAAAGGTTCAAGTAGAATAAGTGTTCTCCCTAAAAATGAAAAAGCAAAGTATTGGGAAGGAACAGTATCTGAAGGTTTCTGTTTTTATCTCTGCCAGCGGCTCCTTCAGCCATTCATTCTTAGCTTTACCTAGTAAATAGCAACCTTTAAGAAACAAAGTGAAATAATCTCTGTCTTGTAGCCAGAGTATCATGAAAGCATACATTGATTATAGATGCATGATAATGTATTTCTTGCAAGCGTAGAAGGCCAATATAGTTTTTACTTAAGTTTAAAAAGTCAGGGAAAAAGAGAAGGAGGAGTTGAAACTGAAGCGGTGCTAGCGGCGTTCGTAATCCATTTTGCCATGGAAACTGCTGCACTGTGGAATCCCAGTCTGCTGTGAGAACAGGTTGCTAAGGAAGGAGGAGTAGACAGCTGTTAGAAGGCTATCAGAGCAATTCATAATGGTAGTGATAGGAGGGTGATTAACTCCCACATCCTCTTTCCTCATTATCATTAAATCATGGCTTACTGTTAACATGTTGTTCTTTCATAAGTGACTACTGTAATTTTCTTACTGAAAAACCTGAGAGATTAGTTTCAAGTGTGTAAAAAAGATCACTGATACTGTGCTCCTGTTAAATAACATCCCTTACTTCAATAGTTTGTGCCACTTTGTTTACCTACTGAAATATGTCCTTGAAGATTAAGTATATACACTTAGCATGTGGCAGCTGCCAAGTCATGGGAAGTGTTTCCCACTAAAATTGTCACTGCATTAATGACAGTAAGTACCCTGGGAAATGTGCAGAAAAGAACTGGAGCCAGAGCTCAGGACCCCACAAACCTGCTCACCTACTAATTAACCCCTGGACATACATCCTTAACTTGCCTTAAGGTTACCAACTAGCTAAATTGTACTTCTGCTGATGGTAACAATTCATGCAGTCTTGAACAGCACAACACTTAGTTTATATTTAAGCTCAATAAAAGCCCAGAAACAAGTTGCTCTTCACCTGATGGGATTTTCTTCTAGTTTGGTAGCAGTTTCTAAGACATTCCTCTGGGCCCAAGGTCTTTGAAATATGCAGTTGCAGCTACTCTTAGTTTAAAAAGCATAGGGCAAGTGGGTTCTTCCTCTTTAATTCCAGCTGCTTAAAGATCTTACCACAGAATGGTTAGAGCCAGACAGGGCAAAAGAGCTGGTCTAGGGTAGGGATTGCTCTTTCTGCTGTGCCAAATGCCACAGAATAAATTCAAAATTCTGTAGAGCCTAGATCCAATACTGATCCTTTAAATTATGGTTTTGCTTCCTCTGAATAGGAAGCAGTGTTATTCTCTATTCTACAAGGAACCCTACAATAAACCACAACAAAGCTAAGTGACTAGCCAAAGTTAACTGATCTCACTAAGTGAGTCATTGAGAGCCGCCTTTTTATGATGTGCTGACCTTGTCCTACAAAGTGATATGCCTAAACTTCTGGTAATAAGTAAGCAAGAATGAAAAATTCACATAACCTGAGATGCCATCCATTCTGGGCTCATAACTAAGTAATCTTCCAGTTCCATAAATGTACAGAAATATATGGTATTAGATAAGTATTTGAAGGAAAGAGAGAGACTATAGATAACATTAGCTTACACAAAAATTGTTTCAGCAAAGGCTTCACATGCAAGAACGGAAAAACTAAAGTCAAAATCCTGATAAAAACATGACAGTATGTATAAGAACAAATAATTGAAGTACAGTTGTTTGGTGAAAAAGACTGCTGAAAAGAAATGCTCAAATAAAGATCAAGTATGCCTATGAACAGAAAAGGTTATGCAATTTTGCAACATGATGGTATACAAAGAAAGTGAGAAGTAAGGAAGTAACTCACTTTTGTGATATCACTTTATTCTTTAACAATAGTGGAACAGTTCTCAAACTGAGGACTGACTTCTCAAGAAGGCACAGAAATTGTGTTGGGTAAAGTGATTCATTGCTGGAGGAGAACTGGGATCAGCAAGGGATATCTAGTCAGTTGGGTAGAGCAGGGACACCAGTGGAAATGGAACTAATGCTGCACTCATCCAACAACAAGGAGTGCAGCTCCACAACTCTGGAATGGCCTCATTTTTTTCCTATACAACTAATGCACACCTTTTCCCCTTGCCAGCCCCTGTAATAGTCTGTAGAACTATTGTGAGAGTTGTACTCAGACTGAATTGAGGGACAGAAACATGAAATACATCATGGCAAATTTGGGGGAAGGGAGGGGAAAAAAAAAAAAAGAGATGTTCTGTTGCTTTAATATAATCAGAAAGGGAGGTTTTTTTTTTTTTTTTTTTTTACAAGATTGTATGTTTGCAATATAATTTCGCTTTCAGTTCTCAGTATTTCATTGTGACAAAAGTGAAGTTTGGAAAGGGTGGTTTGTTTGGTGCATTAGCATTTGATTAAAGGTGAACACATGACTGAGACACAAATGCTTAACATATATATGAACAAGATAGGCAAAAAAGAAGAATCATTAAAATGTCAATTTTACAGGAAAGGAGTTAAACAGAGATGGAAGTTTTAACCTGGACATCAAGAAAGCCTTCCTTACAAAGATAACAGATATGAGAATAGCCTTCCAAAGAAAATACCAAAAACATAGTTGCTTCTGATTTTGCAGTGTAGAGTGTCCATGTAGTATGAAAATGATTCTGCATGTAAAGGGGATAAACTAAATAAAGTGTTTGGTTTGTTGGGGTTTTGTTGTTTTGTTTTTTAATCTTTTAACATTAGTCATTCAAACCCAAGTGAGCTTTTGGTTGAACACTCTCTATATGTTCCTCCAGTTTTATGTCAAAAACTGATGATTAGGGAAACAAATTATTTTGAAAAAATCATTTATTATCTTTTATTTTCAATTCTAATACTTCCTTTTGTATTTCAGGGTTCAAGTTGAATTCTATATGAATGAAAATACATTTAAAGAGAGACTAAAGCTCTTCTTCATCAAAAACCAAAGATCAAGTAAGCAGTTGGATTAATTTCTATTAAGCATAATTGTGATACTTTGAGTAGAATAAAATTCCATTGAAGGCAACAGCAATTTTCTTCTGAGCTAAAATTTTACTCCACAGAGGAGTCAGTTTTACATAATATCCAAAACAAATTCAGAAAGTGTTATTTAAACTTACAAACAACGTACTTATTTTGTAGGACAAATACTTAGTGACATAATTTTATTTGTGTATCATGATCAAGTTGACTAGGTTACTTGTAGCTGACATTGCAATGCTCATTGACAAGTCATGACCTTATGTCTAGGAAAACAAAGAGCCTCTAAGATGCTAGAGGAAGAAAGCTGCAGAAATACATAGCTTTTTGAAGTGTTCAATTTTATTAAGTATTCCTAAATAAATTTCAAGCTTGATCTGTACCAAAAAAACCAGCTTGGAAAGGAAACTAATGGCAAGGACTTACCTCCTCCTCACTGTGGTACCTCAGAAATGTAGTCCTTGTCTTTAGTCTGATTTAATGATATCTTTGTTGACATGTGCACTGAAATTCATAGGCCATGATAAAAGAGAATAATGTGCAGGAACTAAGATGTTACTCTTTTTATATATATCCATGCAGCTGGTCCAAGGGTCTTGATTAGACCAATGGAGTTCATAGCTGAGAAGAGCAGTACCTAGCCTCAATTTTCCTCTGAGTATCAGGATTGATTTTACCTCCATTTGCCCTACACCTGTAAAGAACTAAAAGCTTTATGTATAAAGCTATTGTAATTTTAGAATAGAAAGAATACCTTTTGGCCTTTGTAATACAGTTAAGATGGTTCCACGGCTGTGTGTCTGGGAAAGGACAGAAAGGAGAAAAGAACAAAGTTTATTTTTTTGTGTCCCAATCTGAAAGAACCCAGACAAACAAAGAACAAGTTTGAAAAAAAAGACAGACGATAAGATCTTCTATCTGTAAGAGCTAGTATTAAATAAATACTAGTTTTATATCATAGAACACGATCTTTTTATTGGCTAAGCTTCTCTAACTTTCCAAGTGTGCTAAGCAAAACAAACAAACCAGCAAACCCTCCCCCCTCCCCCCAAAAAAAGAGGCACCATACTGTGAATAACTGATATTTTCAATTTGAGCTTTGAAATGATTTGCCAGTTCCAGCTGGGAATCAGGTTTAACAAAGCTGCCAGAGGTTCATCCATGGGGAAAGCTTTATTTATTACACTTACATAGACACACAGGGGAAAAGTCATCTTAATTCAGGTGCCTAAATAGCATAGAAAGCAAAGGACTACCTCTGCTAATAAGTGATGTGGATAGCCTTCAGAGTATCTTCTCTTCTCAACTTCAGATGGGACATGATATATAATAATGTGAAAAAACCTAACTAGATTTAGGTGGTAAATTGATTTTCTAATGAAGATTTTTATTTGAAATAATTTGAAGTTTGTGCTGTATTAGCACACTTTAGAGCTCTCACTGCACGTTGGCCAGTGTGAAAAGAATATGTACGAAAACTCAGTATGCATAGAACGAAGACAGGAGACGTGAAGAACAGTTTCATACTCCATTTTACGTTTACAAATCTAACTGTGTTGCAAAGACTGAATTTTTGCTAATTATTTTTGTATGTAGGTTGTGGAGTCTCCTTCCACTGAAGTATTTAAAGAACATCTAGACACAGTCCTGGAAAACCAGCTCCAGGTGGCCCTACTTTAGCAGGAGGCTGGACAAAATGACCTCCAGAGGTCCCTTAAAACTTCAACAATTCTGTGATTGTTAGAGAGAGATGAGTTTAGTTACATTTAAACTGCAAATCTAGTTAATTGCACTACAATTTCTCAAATGGTTTTAGATCTCTTCTACTTCTCTCCCTATGACTTTACATGTTTAAATATTTTATATCTTTATAGCCTTTGACTTCTGACATTGTTGATATAGTGTGTTACAGAGTAAGAGACAAAACAGAAAAAGCATCCTAAACTAGAAGAGAGTATTACTGCTGGCTAGAAAGGCAGTCTAGGAAGCTGTTAAGCAATAAACAACCTTTTCGTTCCTGATCTAGTCCACAAAACCACAGAAATTAGTTCTTGTAGACAGCTAGTAGAGACACTGTCATTATGGGCACCTTCTTTTCCTGAAAGGTCCTCAGTACAGGACTCCAAAGAAAACTTTGAGAGATGAGGAATGGTTTTTCTATTATTGAATTATGCAGCGGTTCATGGAAAACAAGTTGGAGAATGAAGGTGCTTACTGTACTTACAGCAGCATGTGGCATGGGCATGCCATTTCACACTAGAATCCCACAGTTTACCCAAGCATTGCTACTGGTTCTCATGATACAAAAAGCTTTACCAACAATTAGACATTAAACAAAGTTTCAGGAGAAACAAACAGGAAATACAGCATAATTATTACTGTACTGAATGAAGAAAAAAATAATCCCCAAACTGAAGTGTTCAGAATTAGTAAGTTTAGTCAAACACTCCTTCTGCTTATGCAGATCTTGGTTCTTGTCCAAATACAACCAGAATCCTCTAAAATACAATCTCCAAAAACCTGCTGCTGAAATAGTACCTGCCACTCATTCAATCCTCTATTGAAATTGGAGGATTCTGTTGCCCAGAGGTATCAGGAAGTTGACAAATAAAGATATTACACTTCAGATCTTGGTGATCAACGAGAGCACTGAAAACCTGCCTTCACATACTAAAGATGTAATTGCTATTGTTGAAAAAAATAATTATCAGTAGTATTAGCAAGTTTTCAGATAGTATAACTAAATCAAGCTACACATGTTCACCAGTTTTCACTACTCCTTAAGACTTCAGAAGTGAATTTAACACAGAGTGTAATATCATGTGGTTTTGTCAACCAGAGCAGTCAACTCTGAAGTTTATATGAATTTTCTATGGAATACTATTCTGATCTAAATAACATACAGACTGGTAGCATGAAATATCAACTGTTTCATCAATATTCTGGTTTTGGAATTATTTCTATAAACTGATAAAACAAGCCTTCATCTACATCTAATGTCAACCTAGCTTCCACTCAATCTTCTGCAAGCAAATGTCTAATCAAGTTCAACCAATGCATGAAAAGCACTTTACAGATGTGTCAGCCAGCACCACCCCCTGT